TACTCAAGAATAATATTCAGGTTGAGTTTTAAATATATCAAGATTCTTTAAAAAACGTAGCCAGCATTTTCTTCTTTACCTGCTTTTTATAAGAATTGTGCATCAAGGAACAAAGGCAAAAGAATAAAATGTGCCTATTACTCGTTGATAAAAATCAAGACATTTCTATTGAACTTTGCTCAATTTGCAGTTAGTTAAAGGAAAGCCTACTCAATACGCCAGTATCCTAGCGTTATAGTGAATATATACCTGATATGATTGTGGTTGCATGAACATAGATGGTTGCTGGATATAGTTTGTAGCCCGCCTGGTATACAATTGGATATATACCTGGTATGATTGTGGTTGCATGAATACAGATGGTTGCTGGATATAATAGCTAGTCCTGTATCTTATTTAGGGGATATCTACTTGATATGGTTGTGGTTGCATGCATACAGATACAGCTAGATATAGTAGCTATAGTCCTGTATCAGCTGTATAGTGGATATATACCTGATATGGTTGTGGTTGCATGCATAAAGGGATGCTGATTATAGTAGCTAGTCCTGTATCCTAGCTGTATAGTGGATATAGACCTGATATGGTTGTGGTTGCATGAAGACAGGGGATGATGGATATAGTAGCTAGTCCTGTATCCTAGCTGTGTAGTGGATATATACCTGATACGGTTGTGGTTGCATGCATACAGAGGATGCTGGATAAAGTAGATAGTCCTGTATCCTAGCTGTATAGTGGATATAGACCTGATATGGTTGTGGTTGCATGCATACAAGGGGTTGCTGGATATAGTAGCTAGTCATGTATCCTAGTTTTATAGTGGATATAAACCTGATATGGTTGTGGTTGCATGAATACAGGGGGTTGCTGGATATAGTAGCTAGCCATGGTTGGTTGCGCGAACGGAAACGGGTACATTCCTGAAAGGGAACGTTTAGGAACCGACACCAATTATACTTTTTAATAAAATAAATATTTGAAAAATTTGTGGAACTCCCCGGATTCCCAGGAATTTGGGTAATTCCTTCCCCAGATTCCTAAATATTTTTGAAATTTCCCAGATTCCTAGGTATTGGGGGGAATTCTCTAGATTTTCCAAATTCCGATTTGAGAATAGTATATTTTTAAGATTTTGGCCCTAATGAGTGGATATTTCCCAAATAGAGGCATTATGAGAAATTTTCTAAAATTAAGAAAAAAAAACCACCCACGAATTCTCTTCGTAATTTGGGGAATTCCTTGGAGAATTCGAGAGTGTTTTTTTTCAATAAAAGGAAAGTTAACAAGAAAAAGTGAGAGCTAAAACAAAGATTTGATACCAATGTTTGGAGATTTCTCCTGAGTTCCAAACTTTTCCAAACTCCTGTTGATTTCAACGCCAGCTCTTTGAGAACCTCCTGGAACATTCGAATATTGATGAAGCAATAATAGTTTTAAAGAGGATGTCCTTGTAATTTTAAGTGACCTTCCATTTAAAAATATACAGGCGTGGTCGATTCACAACGATACTCTTCAATGTTTATCCGATAAAGATATCGTCGTTTTTATGTTTGTCCAATCTTGACAGTGTTGTCCAAAGGAATTGAGTCTTTGACACAAACTCTGAATTTATAATCCCTATGTCTTTGGAACCAAATGTCGTACATCTTTGATATTTCAAACTTATATCATTTGATCTGACAGAATTCATAGTTTGAAATATCTAAGGTCTACGACATTGGAATCCAAAGATAAACGGTTTAGAAAAGTAGAGTTTGTGGCAAAGACTCAATTCCTTTATAGAGAACCACTACTGATAATAAACCATTTTTAAAGAGAATATGATGGATATCTCGTGAATTCTTAATAAGAAAAAGATTTTCAGAGTACGCTTGTAGCTCTATAAGCCTCTAGTCACTTGAAATAGAATAATGCAATCCAAGAAATTTTCTACTAAAGAAACGATTTTCTTGTCCTCACTTATGAACAAGTCTTATTGGTCTACGTTGTGGGAATTAGACCAATAAGATGCAGGATATTTTCAATATTTACGAATCAAAAGTCAGGATTGGAATGTGTTGAAATGATTAATTACGTAGAATTGTGATCATATCATTAATTAATCTATATAATAACGCTCTTAGTTGCCGTGGAAGTAAAAAAAAAAATTGAATTTTTGATTTTTGAATCAATAGGGAACATATATACGAATGTCTTGTTATTACATAGATACTAGCTGAAGGGTTGTGCGATGCCCGTGGAAAAAATTAGAAAAAATAATTTTGAAAAAAAAAATAGAAAAAAGACCTTTCGAATTTATATTTATAAGGTTTTTTATATAGATTTAACCATGTTTAATAACTGAAGAGGAGCTATCCGGAACAATTCTAATTAATAAATATGAAAAACTGAGAGCGCTCTGATTGTTGCTTTATAGATATTCTAGGCTTTTATGGCGCTTCGCGCCCATCTTCTATTTAAATTGTGAACATTTTCTCTTTGTATACATTGCAGAACAAAACAAAAAAAGTTCGCGGATTTATTAAAAAAAAATTCCTGCTTTTCAAATTTTTTTTTAATTTCATGAAAATCGAATTTTGTTGTCGGAAAATATTTAAAATTTTGATCATTCATAAACCTCCCCTGGGGCCACGCGAGGTCCCACACAAAATTTGGACCTGATCGGTTGTGCCGTTATGACGTTTATTGGATACAAACGGACAGACAGGCAGACAGACAAGCAAAGTATATATATACTAGAAATTCAAGGCGCTTCGCGCCCTTCTTTCTAGCCTTAGAGGGCGCTTCGCGCCCATCTTCTGAATTAGTTGTGAACATGTTCTCTTTGTGTACATCGTAAAACAAAACAAAAATAATTCGCGGATTTTCACAAAAAATTTCGCGGATTTTCAAAATTTTAAAAAATTTAATGACGATCGAATTTTGATGGAGACAAATATTTGAAATTTTGATGATTCATAAACCTTCCCTGGAGTCCCTAGATGTCCCACAAAAAATTTGGGCCCGATCGGTTCAGCCGTTTTGACGTTTATTGGATACAAACAAACAAACAAACAGACAAACAAACAGACAGACAAGCCAAATTTATATATAGATATACTAGGCTTTTAGGGCGCTTTGCGCCCATCTTCTATTTAAATTGTGAACATGTTCTTTTTGCTTACATTTTAAAACAAAGAAGAAAATTATTTCGCGGATTTAAAAAAAAATCGCGGATTTTCAAGAATTTAAATTTTTTTACAAATTAAAAACCTAAAACACTTTTTTTTTTAATTTTTATCATTCGTATACATTCCCTGTGGTCACGTGATGTCCCACAAAAATTTTGGGCCCGATCGGTTCAGCCGTTTTGACGTTTATTGGATGCAAACAAACAGACAGACAAGCCAAATTTATATATAGATAGATAGAGTCGAGAACAGAAGATGACATGACAATTGGTCCATGACAATTGGTCCATGAAACATTGTATATGAGGATGTTTATCTGTTTTTGATTAAATAATAAATTTTTATATAGATATATTATATGTTATCTATGGCTGGCCAAAAGGATGGACCGAATTGGTTGAAAGTTTTATCAAAAATCGAAATTTTTTTCTTCAAAATTAGAAAGTGTTTCTAAAACTAAAGGGGCAACGCCGGGTACTTCAGCTAGTATTTTATAAATATTAGTTTGAAGTAAACCTGTAGCAGGTATAGATATCTACCTTCCATTTTATCTAAACATTTCCTTTAACTTAAACTTTTAACTTTTTAACATCTCTGGTCATTTAACATATTAATTATCTTAAAGGAGTTTCAGATTTGTATCAAATCTTAACCCTAACAGATCTACAGGGTTACCCACAAATGATGAGACTGCAAAGTTAACCAAAAACTAATATAAAATGATGATTCTATTTTAACATAATCGTTTAATGATTTATTAAGTGATTTGTCAAGTTCAAGAATCAAGTTTACAGTGGTAGATCGAATCATTAATATAAGGATGCAGACATGTAAGACAGTATAGTTTCCTAGAGTCGTCTCTGAAGTCTCATCCTTTGAGGGTAATCCATTATGTTTTGAATAAAAATAAATTGGATATTATGAATTTTGTTCAGAACCCAGCCAGACCGAGGGGACCTTCAAGGGGTCTTATGCGTCCTCCAACTTCATGCACTAAGTCCTCCTTTTTATTCAATATTTGCCAAAATTTCTTGTAACATGAGAAATAACCATTAAAATATTTTTGAATTTAGATGAGATCCGGCTTCCCATTCCTTCTCCAGCATGTCCCCCCCCCCCCATCTTGCTGAAAGTCCACCTGAAGGCGATGTTTTACAATTATGATCATATTTCAGACACACATATCTTCAATTCCTTGTTCTGTCCAAATGATAATTAAAAATTTGCAATTGTATACTCCCCTTAATTATATGACTTGTGGATTTATGCAGTATAGAGAGGTAGAAAGAAATGGCCAGAATTCAACACCTTTCAACTAGAAAACCCTTAATTTCCTACCAATTGTTGCTAAAATAAACATTCTAAGAATACCTTTGTGAATCAGACAAGCACCTCAAATACCTTTGTGAATCAGACAAGCACCTCAAATAAGTTTGAAATAAGAAAGCCCAGCTCAAAAAAGAATAAAATTATTGAAAATTATGACACAGAAAAAAATAGTTTTTATTTAATTGTAAATTGTAATTCAGTATCTTTTTAAAAAAAGAGTTGTTTATGTCCAATTCTTTAAAAGGTTTAAATACCCCTCCTTAAACAAGCCGTCCCCCCCCCTCC